CAGGCCCGGCGGCGGGAGCGCGCACCGGCGGGAACATAGCCAGGCAGAGCCCTGCGACAGGAACAGGCGCGTGAAGCGGGAGAAGCGAGATGACGCCCACCAGGCCGCTGCCAGTTCTGAAACCAGCTCAGGAGCTGCCTGGTCACTCAGCATCCGGGCCTCGCTGGGGCTGCAGCCCTTGGAGGTCCATGCTGTCAACAAGGAGGCGGGCACCCAGGAGTTCGGTGGCCCCTGAAGTCATCAACCCCATGGCCGTGCAACAGCGAGAAGAGAAATAGACTCAGTATCTGAGATAGGAAAGTGCCTCCATATCCGAAGACCTGGGTTCCAGTTTTCCTCTAGTTCTGACCACAGGACTCTGAGTGAGTCATAAGACCTTTGAGTCCAAATATCCTGACCCACTGAGATTTAGATAATAATTCACTTCTCTATTCTATTCTTTTTTTTTTTTTTTTTTTTTTTTGAGGAAAAGGTTTTTCTTTGGGGGTTTTTTTGAGAGACAGTGTTTTACTATGGGGCTTGTGTGCTCACTAGAGAAACAGAGAGAGAGAGAAAGAGAGAAATCACCCCCCTGGGGGGATGGCCATGCCACAATCCCTCCTTCTCTTCCATTCTCCTCTTGGGATTTGGGGCATGCATGCACAAGCACCCAGAGTGAGTTTAAGCCACCCAGTCTGGGACTCAAACCGTGGTCGACTTTGTGGGAGTCCAGAGACATAGTCATTACACTAACTGCTGGTCCTGGTCCACCTCTTAATACTGTTACAATGACATTTAAATTTCTTCATGACTTTTGGAAGAGACAAACGTTCACACCATACTAGCATCTAAGACTTGACCCAAGGCCCCTAAGCACCAGCGGACATGGTGTGCTGGGGTGGAAGGGAGGGATGGGTCAGTCTGAGGAACTGGATTGAAGTATATTAAGTGATGCGTTTGTGAAGTCTAGTGAGGTCAGATTACAGATGGCTGTGAAAAATGGATAGAGAGATTAGGAATAAAATAGTCATCGAATTTAGGGAAAAATGAAAACTTTTTTTCAGATTCAAAGCAAAATTAAATATACATGAAAAAATAAATATACAGAAATGAAAATATCTGTGTGAGCAGAACTTTAAACTACTGTAGTCAACTACCTGGGAGTCTAGTCATGTAACCATGACAACATCTGCTGGTTTCAACCTGGCATGATTTTCAAGTTGCCGGATCCGGGTCTTGAACTGTGGTCAGCCATGTGGGAGTCCAGCTCTTTAATTACCACATCACCTGTTGGCCTCTTAAATTTTTATTTTTAATTTGCAAGTAATGATCATTTATGTTTATGGGGCATAATGTAATGTCTCATATATGTGTACGTTGTGGGGGGGTTACATCAAGGTTAACATATCCATCACCTCAAATGCTTATCATTTTTGTAATGAGAACATTTAGGATCTATTTTTTTTTAACAATTTTCAAGTATACGATTTATTATTATTAACTGTGGTCACTGTGCTATGCGATAGATCTTGAAAACGTGCTCGTCCTGCCTAACTAAAATTTGGTACCTTTTATATAACATCTCCCCATGGAAGAAAATATTTTCCAACCCTACAGCTAATAAGGGCTAATATCCAGTGGATATTTAAGGAATTCAAATGACTCAAGATCAAGAAAACGAATAGCATGATTTTAAAATGGACAAGTGTATTGAATAGACATTTCTCAAAAGAAGAGACACTCACCAATGGCCAATAGGTGTATGAAAAGATTTTTCTTTTTAATGAGGATGCAACTGACAAGTTTCTGGCAAATTTAAAGCTTGAGAACCAATGAATTATATGTTGCTCATGTTTTACTCCAGCCTTTGGAATTGAAAACAATTTTCACATGAAATGTGTGTAAGAAATTACAAAAGAACTTTTGTCATTCTGAATCCCTGGCTCTCAGGAACGTGGTATATGTAGCCTAATCTCCATATTTTGGGGACTTATGATAGGTTTTACAATATTCTCTTAACTAAAAGACAACACTTATTTAAAAGCCCAGTATGAGTGTGTGTGTGTGTACACATATAAGCATATGTGTGCACTCACATGTGTATTTTTCCCCTTCCACTAAATGAATTTAAATTCTCTACTAGCTTCCAGCTCATGGAAAATTAAACAGAAAGCCTTCTTTCCCTTAAAAGCCATAGATCCTGCCAGTGTGGAAAAATGTAAAGAACCCAAGCTTTGAACTTACACAGGGCAGGATCAACTTTAATTGTCTATGTTACTTTTTTATTTTACATTTTTTCTAGTTTTAATTTATTTTATTTATATATTTTTATTATTATCAATGCATTAAATCACTATACATCTTTAGATTGTGAAGAGACTTTACTCAGCATGATATATACCTCAGCCCAGTCCAGTTGAGACCACCACACACATCCTTGTCAACAGATAATAGACCTTATTCAAAATTAGGTGAATTTTCTTGAAAGAGTTAGCTTTTCTAGCCTCAATAGACTAGGTTTCCCTGTAAGTTAAATGAGATAATGAGCAGAAATGGTCTGGCATGGTGGTTTCCAAGCTTCAAAAACCTTTTAGGAATCTTGATGCTCAGGTTGTGCATTATACCAATTAGGGTCCAAATATCCAGACATGGGAGCCAGGCAGTAACTTTTTTTTTTTTTAGGTTTTTGCCATGGGGCAAGTATGAGAGAGAGAGAGAGAGAGAGAGAGAGAGAGAGAGAGAGAGAGAGAGAGAAAGTGAGAAATCACCCTCTAGGGGAGATGGCCACACCATAATTCCTTCTCCTCCATTCTCCTCCCGAGATCTTGGGCATGCACTCATATACGCCCAGTGTGATTTTCAAGCTGCCACGTCCAGGACTCCAACTATGGTCAGCCATGTGTGAGCCCAGCACCTCACCATACCACCTGCTGGCCCCTCAGCCTTAACATTGTTAAAGATCCTCAGGGGATTCTACCATGAGACAAAATTTAGGACCAGTGGCACTCAGCAAAAGTCAACTTACTTTCTCTCTCTTTTCTTAGAGTTAATTTATTAATATTTTTTCAGAGAGAGAGAGAGAGAGAGAGAGAGAGAGAGAAACTCCTGCAACAGGATTCCATGCCAGGATCTCAATCTGCCTCACAGGCATGCAGAGCAAGTGTGATCAGGGAGCTCCCAAAATGTGTCCTGGGACATGAATCCAGGCCTCTCTTGGATCTAGTTGTGTCACCACTGCATTGCCACCTGGTCTCTCTGTCTCTTTTGATATATGCCTCATTTGTTAGATTTCTAATAGCACTCATTTTTCTGAAATTAGTTTCCCCAAATCCAGTAGCCAGAGTTCCACTGCGAAGGTAAGTGTGCTGATTCTTACTGTATCTTTACAGCAGGTGGAAATAATGAGGAATATCAAATACCCATAACTGAAGTGTCGCACAGGCTGTTTAAAGTGATCCAGTCAACGGTTCTCAGTGCAACGCACATTCGTAAGCAGAGCCTGCTTTCCCCATGATTTAGAGAGATGAAAGGAAACACAGACATTCATTTTCAGGTATCATATTCGTTTGCTTTACATCTTTCTTTTCCAGTGAAACACCTGTGGGATAGGCTGAATTCACTGTCATCTAATAGATGTACCTAATTTTTCCTAGAAATGAAATTTGGATCCTCTAATAGAGACGTAAATTTTCTTACAATTGTTCTGAAATTCACATAGTATTCTTTTAGATCTGATGTGTCAGAAGCCCATGGCCCTGGGCATGCTGGTGTTTCCTTTATCCATAGCTATGTGGTCCTTGCCCTGTGTCCAACTCATCTGCAGCAGATTGATCAGGCTCATGATTCTCCTTTTTAGAATGTCTGCACTTAACACTTCCCTTTCTGATAAATGCAATCAGAAGCAAATATTTGCTCATATTGCACTACGCTTTTTATTATACTGTTGGGTATTCTCACTGGCACCACTTTTCACCCGAATACTCATTAGTCAAAGACAGTCATCCAGTCTGAGTGGTGGCCTATCAGGTGGTCTGATGGGAGAACCCTGCCCAGTTGAGGTAATTGATAACAGATAGTGACTTTCCAACTCACTGTATTTCCTTGCTCTACCATATAAATCACATAGAAGAGGAACCAAGTATTGCAGGGGTGAGGGCTGAGAGTCACCCAAATGAAGGCAATAAACAGACCACAGGAGAAGAAACATGCATCTGCAAAGAGACTAAAGAGAGAGCATTGTGTACTGGCACTGAAAGCAGCCAGAGGAAGACTCAGAGTGCGATAGGAGCGGACCAATGCAACAAATCTTCACCACCCGTGATAAACTGAGTGTGAGCCTGTTTCTTGCAAATATGAAAGACCCCTAACTGAAGTGCTCAGTAAACAGCAATTGAATCAAAGATTTCTCAGCTTCTCCTTTCCAAAATTATTATTATTATTATTATTTTTGGAGAGGTTTTTGCCAGACAGACAGAGACAGAGAGATAGAAAGCGAGAAATCACCCCCCCACCCCCAGGGGGGATGGCCACACCACAATCCCTTCTCCTCCATTCTTCTCTCAGGATCTTGGGCACACACACATGCGTGCCCGGCGTGAGTTTTAAGCCACTGGGTCCGGGACTCCAACCACAGTCGACTATGAGGGAGTCCAGCAACATAGCCATTACGCTAACTGCTGGTCCCACCAAAATTATTTTTGATATGATTCTAAAATCTGAGTTGTACTTAGAGAATACTGTTTGGAGATCATCCCAGCAGCAGGTATTCACCTTTGTTATTGAGGAGAGGATGTTTTTCATTCCACCTATTAGAATTCTTAGCTCATTAATCAGTGGTTCTTTTGGAAGATGCAGTGAACTTGGTCCATTAATCTCAGACTCCTATGAGCTTGGTCTTTGGTTACGGAAAGCAGCCATCAGACCCTGTATTTGCCTTTGCTCCCTTTGTGTCTGTCCTTGTGTCCGCCAATCTATCGTCCTATCTAATTCTTTGCTTTATTTACAAATTACCTGAACAGGAAGATAAATGTAGAAAAATGGTACAATAAATGTGAGTTTAAAAGTTAGAAGCAGGTTGGGGCCAGCAGGCCGTATGGAAGTTAAGGCTGCTGGATTCCACCTGGCTGATTCCACAGTTTGAGTCCCTCATGCAGTGGCTTGAAAAATCATGCTGGACACATGTACATGCATGCCCAAGATCCCGAGAGAAGAGTTTGCAGCCTGACTATTTCCCTCTCTGTAGCTCTCTGTCTCTCT